CTTATAAACCTCAATCATGTCATCCATCAGTCGTCGTTTCTCCAAGCTAAAGAGCCCTAAGCGCTTTAACCTTTCCTCATAGGGAAAGTGTTCCAACCCTTTTATCATTCGAGTTGCCCTTTTCTGCACTTTTCCCAAAGCTATAATATCCTTTTTAAGGTGTGGTGACCAGAACCAATCCCCTCCCAATTTGTTTCCAACTCACCTTCCTTCTCCTCCTTCTCTGTCTCCATCTGTAAAAGAAACAAACCAACCAAATGTGGATATGCCCTGTCCTAACAGGTGTGTTTCTTGGCATCCGGATTTTGAGGAGGTGAAAAAGAAAGAAGACGAGGAGGAGGAAGAGAAGACTGGATTTATACCCCGCCCTTGCCAATGTTGGATCAGGCCAAAGGCCCATCCAGTCCAACACTCTGTATCACACAGTGGCCAGAAATACCAGGTGCCATCAGGAGGTCCACCAGTGGGGCCAGGACATTAGAAGCCCTCCCACTGTTGACCCACCCCCCAAGCACCAAGATGACAGAGCATCACTTGCCCCAGAGTCCCTATCTATATCTTGTGGCGAATAGCCACTGCTTAAATGACTCACCTCATTTAAGGACTGCTTAAATGACTCACCTCATCCTCTTTGGGAGGTGGGTCTGGGATGGGGATATCCAATGGGGCACGAAGAACCGACAGATCTTTAATGTTCAATTCATCTTCCTAGAAAGGAAAGAAGAGCCCTTCAGGACTAGCCTAGGCTGAGTCCCACATCCCGTCTCCCACAGCAGCCCACCGGGTGACCCTGGGAAGCCCCCCCAAGCAGGACACAGCAGACAAAGCCTGGCCCTCTCACTGCTTACCAGCAAAGGGCATCCAAAGGTACACTGCCTCCGAATAGGGAGGCTCTGCCTAGCCGCTGTGGCCAACAGGGACAGAGTTCAAAGTGCGGCAAGGAAGTGAGACAGCAAGAGAGATTCCACCTTGGAGTTGTCTTACCTTCAAAAGCTGATCCAGTTGACATATCTTGGCAGGTAAAAAGGTGGAGAGAAACTCTTCTGCCTGCAGGGCGAGACAGGAAAAGAAATCTAAGAGGGCAGGGGTAGGTGAAGTGGGCACGAGGGGGCATCAGGCAGCAAACGTAACCACCTACCTCTTTAAAAAGGGAGTCTCGGAAATCTTTCATCTAGGAAGAAGAAAAAAAACCAGAAGGTGAAATGCAGAAGTCTCCGAGCCCAGGACGCTGCTTGATGTGCTGAGGGGGGAGGGGTTGGGGGTTCATGCATTCCCAGAGCCTAGCAAGGAGGCCGGGATAAGGCCAGGGCGCACTCTGCACATGGTCAGAGGCGCGCCCTTTGCATTCTCACGTGCCAGATGCCCAGAGCTGGAGAAGGGAGGTCTCTTTTTTCGAAATCAGCCTCCAGTCGCCACCCTCTCGGTACCCCCTCCCCTCCTTTAAACCCTCCCTGGTTCCCCATCTTCCCCCCTCCCCACAGAGCGAGGAACGGTGCAAAACCTCCGTCCCGTTTTCACTTTCACATTCACACGTTCCGCCCCCCGCCCGCCTCCTTCCACCTGCTCCCCACCCCCGGGGTTTGTGTGCGTGTGCGTGTCTGTGCATGACGGCAGGGGGGGAGCGATCACACCAAACAGCCACCCCCCCTTCACTGAGTTAACTCCCTCCCAGCAGTGTTCCCTCTAAGACGAGTTAATGTGAGCTCGCTCACAGGTGTTTTTTTTTTAGCCTCCAGCTCACACAATTTTGTCTCCGCTCAGGAAGGCTGGGGGTCCCGAGCAAACTAATTTCTGCAGCAGCCCAATCGCTCATTCAGTACTTTAATGCCCGTGGTGCCAGGAGCTCACCAAGTAGAATTTTGCTCACAAGACCCCGCAGCTTAGAGGGAGCGTTCCCTCCCACCTCCCGTCTCTTTTGCAAATCTACTTTTTAAAAAGTCACTTTCCAGGACCCACTTTGGCAGATCAAAAGTGCCAAGGCGGGGCATGGCGCCTTTTGATCTGCCCCCAGCACCCCCCACCACCACCTCGGGGCTCGGCGGCTTCCCGTCCTATCCCCCTCTCCGATGCACGCTTCCTCCCCCCCATTCAATTATTTTGGAGCCGGTTTATATGCAGACAGAGGGGTGTGTGAATCTGGAATCAAAATGCGCACCGGAGGGGGGGGGGAGGCTTAAAAATCCCGCTCGGATTCGGCCCCGCGAGCCTCGATCCCCGACGCGGGAGGGCTGCTCTGCGCTCCCCTCGGGGCACTCTGCGTACGCTCAGGAGCCCCGTCGCCCCCCAGGCCCGCCGGGACGCGTGCAGTTCTTCCTCCCCGTCTCCGGGTGTCTCTCTCTCTCTCTCCCTCTCTGCCGGGGGGGGGGGGTCGGTTTCTTTTTTCCTTTTCTGCCTCTTGCGCTTTCGTTTCCTGGTCCCCCCCCCTCCCTGCTTCCTCTCCTGCCACCAGCTGTTGGGAGGTGGGGGGGGACTCATCCGTTCCCCCCACGACAGGTAAGGAGTCCCGGGAGTGCAGGCGCGCGGGGGGGGGGCGGTTTGCGAAGACAGGAAGACTCAACCCCCCCCCTTTTTTACACATTCTTTTTTAGAATCTGAAAGTTTCTAGTAAGATCAGCGCAGAT